GCACTTCCACCACTTACAGCAAAAGACAAGACAAGCACCTACACTGAGCCAAGTTTTATGCTGAATGCTGGGGATAAAGACTTTTCAGATCCAGTGCCTGCTCTCTGGAAGTTCACAGGCTACAAGGTAGATATTCAAATCCCAGAGAAATATCCCTCAACTAGAATTACTGAGACAGAAAGGCTGAGAGCACAGTGGCAAGAATTTCAACACCCAGTGTTTAATGTAGATCGGTTAATCCCTAGTCATGCCTTCTCCTACCCAGGAAACACCCTAATCTCACCTCATCCTGATCTGGGGCTGGCTTTTCCTTCTTTGTCCAGCCCACCCAGCAGCCCCAGTGAAAGGCTGTCTAGATTTAAGGAACTAGAAAGGAAAATACACACACACACACACACACACACACACACACACACACACATACACACACCCTTCTCAGACCAGCTTATCACATACCTGGGTTTTGTTCACTAGCCTGAGAGTTTCCTTCAAAAGGAAGGACACCTTTTACAAGGTCACAGATTTATGTTCAAAGCTGGAGCCTGAGAAGAAGTGACCAGGTTGGAGGGTTTTGACCAGAAGTGTGGTGAGTCTGGAGGGAGGAGTGATGTGGAGTCAGGAGTGGGGAGAGAGGAAAGTATTGTCCAGGGGCCATAATGAGCATTAAGGATCCACGAGCCCCTGAAATTACAAACAATATTGTGTGTGTGTGTGTGTGTGTGTGTGTGTGTGTGTGTATTTAAGCCTGCACGGGGAATGTTTCCATGATTTTAAATCATATTTTCAAAGGAATCTATCACTTTCAAAAGGTTAAAGTCTAGGACGTGGCCATCCGTTTGCCAGTGGATGACTTAGTCTATTCAGGCTGCTATAACAAAGTGCCGTAGATTAAATGGCTTATAAACAACAGAAATTTATTTCTCACAGTTCTGGAGGCTAGGTATTCCAAGATCAAGATGCAGATAGATTAGGTGTCTGGCGAGAGCCCGCTTCCTGGTATGTAAAAGGCCATCTTCTTGCTGTGTCTTCACCCAGCAGAAGGGGCGAGGGCACTCTCTGGGGTCTCTTTTATAAGGGCACTAACCCCATTCACGAGGGCTCCACCCTCATGGCCTCATCACCTCCCAAAGGCCCACCTCTTAATACCATCACCATGGGGGTTTGAATTTCAACATATGAATTTTGGGGCTTAGAAACATTCAGTCCGTTGTGATGGGGGAACTGAGACTCAGAGCTGTTACATGACGTAATTCGACCCAGCGCACACAGCCAACTTGTAGCGGAGCTGGAATAGAACCAGAAATCCGGCTTACCTGGCTGTGCAGCTGGGAGAATGAAACAAAGGATTCGAGTCAAAGTCGTCACCCACTCTGACTTGCCCGTCTTCAGAACTCACCCTGGATGTCACCCTGTCTGCCCTCAGCATCTCCCTGAGCTTTCAGCTGTGTCTGTTTGCATCTGTCAGTCGATGAATGGGCAAAATACACATGTCAGACTTCACTTAGGCTAGCAAACCAGCCCCTCCTGCAGCTTCGCCATCTCAGTAATGGCAGCTCCCCCGTCCCAGATGCCAAGGTCGAAAGCCCTGGAGGCATGCTTGCCTCCTCACGGTCCTTCACACTCCAAGTCCAATCCGTAAGTAAATCTGGTCGGCTCGTCCTTCCTTCGACCTTCAATATAGATCCAGAACCAAACACTCCTTGTCCCAGGACATCCCAAGGCATTAGCAGCCACCTGTAAAGTCCCCGATCCCAGTTCTCCTGCCGTGGCTGCCTATGGCTCTCCTGGGACCACCTGTGCTCCCCTGGCTGGAGCAGAGGGGAGGATTGACCAAACTCCAACCCTGGCTAGTCCCAGAAAACCGCTGGGGTATTTATTTGCCTCTTAAACTAATTCCTTGATATCACTTTGGGTTTAGGACCCAGAATCAGGAGCCCGATTCCTTGAGTTTGAGTCCTGGGTCCATCACTTGCTTCCTGAGGCTTCTCTTTGTCATCTGTAAAATGGGTACTACTCACCCTACCATGGAGCGGCTACAAGGGCTTAAACTGAGCGAGGCTCTGAAAGAGTTTAGAATGGAGCCTGATGGGTGCTCAAAAATTGTCAACTGCCATTAACAGTTAAATGCCACGCTGGAGGAGAAAATACTCAATCCCTTTCAAGTTTCCCCTAGGTGGATTCCAGCTGATTGGAGACCAGCCGGATGTGGTTTCGGGTTATAATGCCTCATTTAAGTTTCTGGGCACCTGGACGATCAGTGTGCTTTTCCCAGGTGACATTGAGCACATTATCTGGAGAACAAAACTCCTTTCAAGGTCAGAAATGCCCAGAGAGGCACTGGGGCAGCCAGAGAGAGGCCGAATCACGGGCCTCAGCCAGCTCAGGGCTCCCCAGCTTCCTGGCTGGAATTACAGCCCTCAGGATCCTGCCAGCTCCAAAGGAGAGGCTGATTTTGGTGTAGAGGGGAAATATTTCTCCTCCCTCACGGAGCTGCTTCTCACTTGCCGGCTAGCTGCCGTGAGGTTTTTCTAATCCTGGGAATAAAATGTGTCTCCTAACCCTCCCCTACCTGCGTGGGCTTAGCTCAGCCCCGCCCCCTGCAACACACCTGCATCTGACCCCCTAGAACCTGCACAGCAACCCCAGCCCCGTTTTCCAGAGAGACGAGGTGCCCTCCCCAAGGTCATAGTGCTGGGAAGACCGGGATGTGGTTTATCTGCGTCTTTCTACCACATCACCCTGCTCAGCGATGGAACCTAACACTACCTGCCCCCCAGGACTTCTAATCTGCTTGTACAGATGGAGAAACCGAGGCCCAGAGCAATGGGGCAACTTGTCCCAGATCACACAGCTGGGAAGCGGTGGAGGGACTGGCCGGCCTCCAAGCCCAGGATTTTGGCCACGTTTAAGGTGCTGGCTGGGCTTAGAGTTCCCAAAGGGAAAGCCAAGGTTGAAAAGCACTGGTCCTGAAAGGTCTTGTGTAGATGCCCTTGACTGTCTCAGCTGCTTCTGACACTGGGTGCCCTTGGGCTGGCTCAGTCCTTCTGGGCCACACTTCTGACCATCAGTGACAACACTGGCAATGAACAAGCCACTTTCCTGCCTCAGCCTCCCCATCCAACCTCCATTAGTATTTAGGGAAGACCAGGCTTGAAATCAACTCTCTTTCTCATTAACATACATTTTAAGTTTAAAATGGATCACCAGTATCCTGCTAAAAACTAGAACAAAACCACTGCCACAAATAAAAGAAAATCCAGCCAAATTCCCCAAATCTCACAAGTCTCCATTGCCCGCGCAAGGCTCCCCGTCTTCTTAAAAGGGAAGATTGACAGATGGTTGGGAAGTGTTTAAGATCTAGCAGCTCCAACAGAGACTTTCTCCTTGATGTAAAGAGGATTCAATGCGAATGAAAACTAAGTAACTCCTGGCATTCTATAATTTAGAGACGTTTAAGTCTGGGTCCGAGTGCCACGTGGACATCCCCCAAGGATCATTTCCAGCCCCACGAAAAATGACAAGATAGAAAACAGTGTCATTTACATACGTGAAAAATACACAGATACTAAACAATATCTATTTTGCAAAAATACCTCCAAACAAAAACATACACGGTCAATAATTAAAACGGTCAGGGATTGGGAGGAGTTAGCTGATGGATAGTGGGTTGTTCAAAACACAGCATCCGTGTGATTTTGAAAAAGGTGCCCCCTCTGGATACAAGCAGACCTTTGGACAGTGCAAAGCTTGATGGGCAGAGCGAATGTATGAAGGAACAAATGAATGAGTGAATGCACCATGAAAGAGGGGGCTTGCCTGGACCCGTGATGATTATTTCCCATGAGGACTGGTTGTGTTTAAAGGTCTGTTTAAGCAGTAACATTTTTTTAAGATTTGGGGTCTCTGCTTGCAGGACTTGTTGGGGCAGCGCCCCCACCCCCACCCCAGTTAACACCTCCCGTTGCATCCCAGGTCGAAGCCGGGGTTGATGACCTGAAGGCAGGACCAGATCCCTGGCTGGTGGGGGAGGGAGACCTTCGCCAGCCCCTGTTTCTCTCCTTCCACTAATCTTGCCCTTTGACCCCCTAGGTCACTGACACTCCCTGATGGTGGGCAGCATGTGGGCAGCTCTGGGACTTTCCCTCACCTGCGTCTCAGCCTTCAGCCTTACCTCCCCTGCCTGGTTCCAGGCCCCTACCTTCTCCTTTGGTGTGCTCACCTACTGCTCCTGGCCCCAGGGCGACAGCAGGAACCAGAGCTGTGGGTCCTTCAGGTCCCTGGATGACATTCCTGACTTTGCCTGGAAGGTGAGACTTGGGCTCACTGTTTCACTGGGACCTCGGAGGGCATTCTTAAACCCATCAGAGCCCCCCCCCCCAAAAAGCCAAGTTCTGCCCACCTCCCTTCCAGGCTCTAACTCTGTAGGTGTGGGGTGGGGTCTGGCTATCTGCATTTTAGCAAACACCCCAGATGATTCTGAAGGCAGCTACCAGCCAGTCCAGCGCCTTTGTACAAATTAGGAAAAGGGTGTCCTTTCTTCGGTACACTGTACTGCCATCTGCTGGAAGATTGCTGTAATCAATATGCAAACCTGTGAGGACTCCCAAATGCGGCTCCTCCAGTTGTGCAGTGCACAACATACACACACCTACCTGGTCATCCTTTAAGCACTGCTAGGTCTGAAACTCCAGCTAAGGTGTTGAAGGTCTCTGTTGTGCTGCAAATCGCCAGATTCAACACTGGGGACAATGGGTGGGGACTGCCAGATTACACAGCCTTCAAAATGGATGATTTCAAAGGTGCCTCCCTTGGTGCACCTGCCATACAGCAGGTCCTCAATAAAGGGAGGGGATGGCGGTAATAGACTGAGACCTTCATTCTGTCTTTACCTTTTAATTAGCTGTGTGCCCTGAGGCAAATGACCCAACTCCTTGTACCTCCATTTGTTTATGTGTAAAACAGGGGTGATAATGGCAGAGACCTCGTGGGGCTTTGAGGACTCAGGGGCTGATCTGTAAGCAGAGAGAGCATAGGACTGCACCCACCCCAGACAACACCCTCCCTCCTTTCTTTTCCTGGCAGGTCTCAGCCGCGATGCTCCTCGGAGGCTGGCTCCTGTTGGCCTTCAATGCAATTCTCCTCCTGTCCTGGCGCCTGGCCCCCAAAGGGCTCTGTCCAAGGAGGGGTAGTGGCCCAATGCCCGGGGTGCAGGCAGCAGCAGGTAAATCCACTGTCACATAGGAAGTGTTTCAGACCTGTTTGTGGAATGAATGAGTGGATGGATGAATGAGTCTGTAAACAGAATCTTGACTGCTGGTGGAAACTCAGAGATTGCAGACTATTCCTGGTCCTTTAACAAGCCAGAAATTGGGGGTAGAGGATGGCATTGTTAACATTACCCTCTCCTGCCCTCAGCCAAACCCAGTCCTAACAGTCTATCCCCTTTGTTTCTCTCCTATCCATTCACTTTGCATCATTTTTACTGGAAACACCATATACAGTAGGGTAGGTTGTGTACTGCACAAGGGAGTCCAGCTGAGGGCTGAGAGCTGCTGAAATCTAGCCTATGCTCCACTTGCTAAGCTGTGAAACTGCAGCGCTACATCTGCCCAGAAGGGTTGCTTTTCTCCAGTTCACACATGGGCTTTGGAGGATCTAGCTCAGGTCTTGATTGTAACCCTCATCCAATTAATTCTCCACCATCTCTCACCTGGATCAGAGGTGACCGCTTCACGGGTCTCCCTGCTGCCACCCTTGCCTGCTACAGTCTGCCACACCCTGGCCAAGTGGGTCCTGTTAAAACTGAAATCAGATCACGCCACCCACATTGGCTTATCCACATTCCTATGACTTCCTGTTACCAATGAGGCTCTGCTGATTAAACCCGCATTCCCTCACCAACGTCATCTCTCGCCTTCTCTGCCAGGCTCAGTGTGCTCCAGCCACACTGGCTTGCATTCTGTTGCTCATACACGCCAAGCTTGTTCCCTCTGCCTGGAATTCTTTCTCTACAGATCTTCACGTCTTGCCCCTCCCACTTCATTAAGGGCTCTGCTCAAATATCACAGTCGTTGTGAGGTCTTCCATGACCTCGAGGTAAGGGAGCTTCCTTCCCCTTAGGGTCTCCTTTTTCTTAACTTTGCTTTGTATTTTCCATGGCACTTACCTGAAATATCTTATCTGCCTCCTTGATTATTACGCCTCTCTTTCCACTAGAACGTCAGCTCCATGAGGGCAAGGATGCGTCTGCCTTGCTAGCATCCAGCACCTAACACAGTGCTTTATACATAATAGATGCTCCCTCAATATTTGTTGTATCAATGGATGGGGATACAGTCTTTGTTCTAAGCTAGCACAGTGTCCAGTAGGAGTGGGTGCATCAGGCAGTTACAACTCGGTGGATATTTGACATGGCAGGGATGAGCACAGGATGCGAGGAAAAACTCCTAGAGGTAGATACAATGTGTGGAGGGTGTTAAGGAGGGCTTCCTGGAGGAGGCACCACTGAGCTGAGTCCGGAAGACTCAGTGGGGATTAGCCAAATGCAAAGGGCATTTCAGGTAATGGGAAGATCGGGGCAAAGGCATGGAGACAAGAGAGCAAGTCTTGTGCAGGGAACTTCAAGTGGACTGGTGTGGCTGAAGGGAGGCTGGGGGTGGGGTGTCACATGATTCTCCTGCACTGGGAGTGCCTTGAAGATGAGGAAGTGTCTCAGTATCGTTAGTGCCTCCCACGTGCCTCAGTTTTTGATGAATGAATGCAGGATGGATGGGATGGATGGGTTGGTGAATGAATGAAGCAGTGGTGTGGGTAAGTAGGTGAATGAACTGATACATTAGTAGAGGGTGGAAGAATGGATAGATGGATGGAGGGATGGGGAAAATGGGTAGACTGGAATATGGATGGATGGATAGATGATGGATGGATGGATGGAAGGACTGGAGGTGGGGCAGGTGGCTAAGTGGGTGGTTGGATAGATGAATGGGTGAGTGAATGGCTAGGTAGACAGAAAAATGAAGACAATGAGTGGCTTAGAATATGGTTGAATGGATGGGTGAGTAGATGAACAGATGGGTGATAGGTGGATAAAAGGAGAGATAAGACAATAAATAAGTGAGTGGATGGATAGATGTGTTGCCGGAGAAGGAAATATCATATTCCAGGACCTGTGCGAGTCCCTGGGATGGACCATCACATGAGGGTCCTTAGCTGCACACAAGACGGAGCCAAACTAAAGTGCAAGCAAGTTTATCTGGCGAGATACACACTCCAGAGGCAGAGTGCCGGCCTTCTCGGAGAGCGAGAGTGGCCTCAGGGCACAGGGTGGTCGGCTTCCACGGGCCGAGCAATTCCACGTGCTAGTGAGTGGGAGAAATACTCTTGCTCTTTCGGGGAAGGGTGGAGATTTCCAGGGATTGGGCCACTGCCCACTTTTTGGTGTTTTATGGTCTGCCTCGGCACTGGCGTGGCTTAAGGGGGAGTGATTTTCAGTATTATAATGAAGGCGTAATGAACTAAAGGTCAGTGACTGGACTCTTCTCAGTGCCAGTTCTAGCCGGTTCCAGCCTGTTCTTATTGCCCCTTAACAGCTGCACCTCTTGTCCATTTCTCTGCCTCTTTCCCTCCCGTCTCAGCTGGGTGGGTGGGTGGGTCCCGGGATGGACGGCCAGCCCAGAGCCCCCTGACCGACACACTGGTTTTCCTTCCTGCTGTCTCTAGCCACTGCCACCATCATGGGCCTGCTGGTTTCCCCATCAGCTTGGCTTCCCCATTCGCCAAGGAAGTCTGCTTAGCCTCCTCCGTGTACCACAGTGGTCAGTGCCAGCTGGGCTGGGGCTATGTGACCGCCATCCTCAACGCAGTCCTGGCCAGCCTCCTGCCCATGATCAGGTGGCCCCACACAACTGAGGTCCAGAGGAGGACCATCCTCTTTTCCCGAGACACTGACAGCATCATCCTCGCACCAGAAATGAGCAAATAAAAATATCCCAGGAGAAGCAAAAAAGAGCCCACGCTAGAATTGTATGAAATCACTATGCACCCAGATTCAAATCCCACCTCTGCTGCTTCCTTGCTGTGTGACCTCAGGCCAGACACTTCACCTCTCTGGACCTCAGGGGATGCTTCTGTGAAGTGGAGGGTGAAATACCTTGTAGGGTTGTTAGGAAAATTAACTTGAGATGCTGTATATATTGTATGTATGTATTGTAGCACATAGCACTCAATAAACTTTAGTTACTATTATTGTAATCCCTACCTCACAGGACTGTGGTGAGAATGATATCTATTAATGAAGAGTGCCTAGAGGCAATTCTGAGTCCATGGTCTTCACTCAAATACTACCTCTTTTAATGGGTATGTGTACATTCTCTCTCTTCCCTCCCTTTTAAAAACTCCTCCTCTCTTGAAGAATTTGAAAATTACTCATTTTCCCATCAAACATTTTGTGGGTACCCATTATAGATAAGAGTTGGTCCTGCGTTGGGGTGGGGAGGGGAGGACAGGCGTTAAGGACTTGTCTCAACCCTCCACGCATATAGTCCCACTGATGTGGAAAGTTCACTGTTAACTTGGGGCACATGAGGTGCCCCACAATCCAGTCCCAACCTCTCTCTCTCAGCTTCTTGCTTGTCACCCAATGAGCCCTGCACCTCTCCCTCCAGCCACACCGAGTCCTGAGCCCACAGTGGGTCTCTTCACAGCTCTACCCCTTTTGCACACATTGCTTTCTCTGCCAGGGATGTTGGATTCAGTCTGTGGCTTTTGCCTATCACAGCCCATTCTTTGGGGAAAGCACCCTGATCTCCCCTTGGGAAATGACCCTCGGCAACTCTCTGACGGCCTCAGGCTTTATGATGGACAAATGAGTCCTTCTAGCCAACCAAGCCTGGTCAGACAGGTTGGGTCAGAGATAGGCATGGAACCTATATGAGACGGCATAGTTGAGTGGAGCCATGAGATGGAAAGAGATGGAGGTCTGTGGGCTTCATTTGAATACCTGGATCCAGCCATGCCTGCTTCCCTACCTGCAGGAGACATGGGCACAGGCAGCTCCAGGCCAGCATCCCTCTAGCTTGACTGTTCCAGAAGAATGAGTGAACCGCTCTCTTCCCAAGGAAGGAATCTGATTGGCCAGGATGGGGTCATGTGACAACTCCTAGAGGGGAGGGGCATTTCAGTAATCTCACTAGACCGCATGGTTAAGTTATAATGTAGGAGATACAGTTCCCCAGAAGATGGGAGAAGTTGCTGGTCCTACAATGGGGCAAGGATGCTGGGCAAGCAAAAACATTCAATGTCCAACTCTCCCTTTAAGGGAAGATTTATCATCCCCATTTCACAAAAGTACAAACTCAGAGAGGTAAAGTCACTTGCCCAAGGCTGCACAGCTGATCAGTGACAGAGCTGGGATTTGAATACAAGTCTGTCAGACTCTGATGGAGGCAAAATAACACCTGGAGTTATCATCTCTGCCCCGACCCAGCTCATCAAACTCTTTTGGCTTTAAATGTTCAACCAAGAATATCCATAAACAACACTATGTGATTAGGGCAATTCTAGTCTTTGGAAAACACACAGACCACAGAGAATGCAGGCTGCATTCATCTCTCAGAAAAAAAACAAGGACAACTTGACAGCTTTTTGAAAAAATTAATAGAATAACAGAAAACCCAGGAAGTCATCACATGATGTTTAAATCGATTCGGAGACCAGCGGTGGATTTCGAGTGTCATCAGGAACACTTTGATGTGAATCAGGCTTGTGTGGGAAGATTCCTGGAGCCCCAAGCAGCGTCGCAGTGCCAAAGGCAGCAAGAAGATGCCACGAAGGAGAAGCCCAAACTCAGCTTCAGATCACCCACCTGTGCTCAGGATGAGCCGTCTCCTCTCTGTGATAACCTTACGATGGCCCCAAGTCCCCTAATTTTCTCTTTGAGCAGTTTCAGCAATGCCGAAGGGGGCAATTCTGCAGCGTGTAAAGCAGAAGCATTTACAGAGACGCTGTCTTTATTTGCCAAGAGACAGAGAAATCTGTCTGCCTGATTTTCTCTTCATCACAAGAGGCGTTTGTTTTTCACAAGGAGCCCTGCGCCTACCAAGGCTGGAAACCACTGTGCCTGTGAGTCTGAATCAAGAAAGCTCGGAAGATGCTGGAAGATTCCTGCATAACACCCTGATGTAATGGAAAGTCCCCAGGGAACTGCATGGTTCTGTGCGTCATTCGCATTCTCCTAAGGTTGACTTAGCAAGGGACTGGCAAGGTGGCACTTCAAAAAGGATCAAACTGTGCTCCTCTAGAGTCATTACCTGTCCTAGGCTCAAGCTCTCAATGTGCCCCGTGCCTTGAAAGCCAGCAGCAGAGAGATCCGAGAGCCCTTTCCTGGCTCAGTAGAATCTGACGCAAACTGCGGAGTCAGTGTGGGATTTGCTTCTGCCAGGAAGTGATGGTCCCACCCCCCTCTCCAGTTGCCCCATCACAGCCCAAGAGGGCTCAGAGCTCATCCCTTCCCCAGTTCTCCTCCAGCAGCCACAGTCTCTCAGGTTTCAGAGACTGCCCTGAGAACCTGAGCCAGGCAGATGACGGGAACTCGGGGAAACTGAGATCCCAACCAGGAAACCATCCTCGGGGATGTTAGGGACAGAGGGTCCCAGTGAAAGAGAGGAGCCAGGACTGAATCCAGACCCAAGGGAGGCATTATTATTCCCAGTTCACAGAAATGAAGACTAAGGCTCAGAGAGGTAAAGTTACTTGCCTAAGGCCACACAGCCAAGAAGTGACAGATTTGGGATCCCAAGTCATTGCTCCCCAAACAAGTGGACAAGAGACAGAGGTGATGATTTTAGTTGGCGCAGCGAGCAAATCATTCCCATTTCAGTTCTCCTTTAAGTCCTCCAAGAAGAGAGGCTTATCTGGGGCTAGCATGTCTTTAGTGCCTCTCCAGCCCTCATGACTTCTTAACAGCGAGCCAGAGAGCAGGCTTCAGAAAGCCTTTGGTGGGAAATAGTATTTTGGCAAGATAATAATATTGATTTTTACAACTATCTTCTGTTCATGCAAATGATCCTGACTTTCCATCAGTTTGAAGTTTAAAAGGTGAGTTGATTTAAGGAAAACTAGTAAATACTTTACTAGTGGTACACAGATACGGTCCAAATCATAAAGGTGGACTGCAGGTGACTGGAGCTTCAGGGATGCTGTTGTAAAACTTGAGGAGAAGACTCATTGAGTGATGGGTCTACCATCTCTCAAACTCGAGCCATCTGTTGAAAAGGAAAGCTCTTCCCTCCCACAAGCCAAATGGGAAGCTCCAGGTGAAAAGAAAATGGAGCGTGGTTTAGAAGAGAGATGGTCGAGCAGCCAGAGGACCTTCACACCCCAGCGTCATTCTAAACAGGAACAGCATCATTCAAGGAGAACACGGGTACACAGACAAATACTCGTGGCTACAAGGAAAGGAGGCAGAAGGGGGAGAGAGAGAGGAAGGAGGAGAGGAGTAGGAGGGGCGGGGGAAGGAGGAGATAAAGAAGTGGAGGGAAAGAAGGAGGAGGAAGAAGAAAAAGATGGGAGGAGTCTACCAGGACAGTTTTGCGTCACACACACACACACACACACACACACACACACACACACGACACAACACGACACACACACACACACACACACACACACACACACACACACACACACACACACACACACACGACACACACACACACACACACACACACACACACACACAC